CCCTCGCCCCGCCCCCGGCGGAGACCCCACCCCCAGGCCGGCTCCCGCGCCTTCCCCGAAACCGCCGGGATCCAGGCTCCGCACACGTGACCGCGCCCGCGCCCACCCTGAGCGAATAGCAGCGCTGCCACTGGGCGGGTCGCCGACTCCCGAGCCTCAGTTTCTTCCTCTGTGAAACGGAGATCATTATAACACCTATCTACCTACCTACCTGGCCTACCGATCTCCAGTAAGGGATGGGAGACCGCTCTCAGATTGGGGGAGGGGAAGGAGTAGGGGGTGGGACCCAATTGTGCAGGAAGGGGATGATGCTAGCCTGGACCGAAAGAGGTCCCGGGAACCTTCAGGTCCGAAGCAGGAGGCTGGCCTTCCCGGTCCCATTCGCTCCCCCGGAGAGTTCCCACATGCCCCCCGGGAACCTTCTTTGGTTTTAGTAAAGGAGGTGTTTCCTCACAGCGGAGGAGGACTTCACAGCAGTCAGGGGAAGGATAACATTTACAGTCTACTGCATGCCCAGCCCTTATACATTTATATTATTTAATCTCCACAATAGCCTTGAGAGGCCAGTAGTTTATCCCTATTTCCCAGAGAATAAAGCCTCAAGAATGCTAAGATGCCCGAGGACATAAAGCTAGGACGCGATAGAGCTGAAATGCAACCACAGTCTGTGTCCTCCGAAGTCCTTTCTAGGAGCCGCACTTAAAGGGAAGCAGAAACCTCTCAAAGATAATCTGAAAATCTCCGAGTGCTGAGGAGGTCCTGGCTGTGACTAGCACCAACTTGAAAGCGAGGCGAGGCATGTTGAGAGGAAGGGCAGAGACTCTGCAGGAGGGCTGGTGGAAACAGGGAGGAGAGGCCAGGTGATCAGGGAGGGGTCTGCTAGGGGGCACAGTCTCCACGTCCTCGTGTGCACCCTGGATTCAGCAGCGCCACCCCAACCGTGCCAGAAGAGTGTCCATGTGGGGATCCGCTGGTGCTGAATAGGCGGTCGTGACTGCAGGACATGGTGGGAGAGAGTGTGGGAACAGCCAGCTGGGCTGAGGGAGGGCCCCTCCTGCTGCCCTGGGTCCACAGCCAGGACTCCCCAACCCAGGACTCTCCCAGCCTGTCAGCCTTGCCTTGCCCATTAACTATAAAAACAATAATCAAGATATCTGGAGCATTTGCTGAGCATCAGGTGCTAGCTATATACTATAACTTGTTCCATCCTCACAATCACCCTAGGAGGTAGGTGCTATTATCATACCCATTTTACAGCAGAAGAAACTGAGGCACAGAGAAGGCAAAGATCTTGCCCAAAGTCTGGTAGCTGGTCAGTGGTGACCTAGGATTCACGTGCAAACGTTCTGGGTCCACAGCCCTTGCTCTTTAGCCTCCTTCCTGCCTGTCGCAGTTCATTCAGTGCACATGCACGCAGGCATGCACGCACACCCAGCTTCTCTCCAGGCTTCCGGAGTGCGGGACGAGGCAGATCCATCTCTGTCTGGCAAGGCATCGATGCTCTCTGAAGGTTGTGACCTCTGATTATTTATCAACCTACAAGAGCTATCGCTGTCGCTAAAGACAGAGAGCAGACAAAATAAATTACCTTGGAGTGGGGTGCAGGGGCAGAAAGTAGGACTGTTTCTTGCCTGCTGGGACACTTGGCCTACGCCTCTGTTTTCACCCTGTCAGGCTCCCAGGAAGGGCAGCAGAAAGGGGCTGCCTTAGAGTCAAGGCAGCATGGCAAAGCACTCCCTGAGGACAGGTGCCTTCCGGTGAGGATGAGCCCTGCCTAGAAGCAAGAGGCTGGCCCCGCCCTCCAGACCACCCCTCCCAAAGCTGCAATTTCAGCGTGGACTACAGCCTAGAAGACTTCCCCTTCAAGAATTTGAGGCTGCTTTTCCCTCCTTATTCCCGAATTATCTGACACCTTAAGGCAATCAGAATCAAGTTGGAAGGTCTCAGGAGCCTGGAGTAATTGAATCTATTAAATAGACACGTTAGGTTCTGTCCTAAGGGAGCAAAATCTGGAGGCAGAGTGAGGTGCAGAAATAAGACAGCTCTCCACGTCTCTTTCTGCGGAGGCTGTGCATGCATGCACGGGATGTGTGGGAGCCAGTGGGACTGTGTGCATGAGTGTGGTGAGTGTGTGTGAGTGTATGTGTGTGTGAGATGTCCCTGCAGTCTGAATGGGTCTGCACAAGAACATTTGTTGGATGGTGTGTTGATGTGTGTGCATGGGGGGATCTAAGTGTGTGCTTCTGTGAGTTCTAAGGGGTGTGTGAGTGTTCACCCTCAACTTAGAACTGGCAAAGGGTTTTCCCTTCAAATGAAGGGTTTTCCTGCTCAAATGGCTTCCCTGGTTGACATTTTAAGTGTATGCCCTTGGCTTCCATCAAAACGCCACACCAGAAAGCCATGTGAAGAATATTGTACTAGGCCATGGTTAAAATACAACTGTGCTGTACAGTGACCCTGGAAGAAGGGCCTAAGCTTTTCAAATTTAGCTTTAGGAACAAGGTTATATCTGCTGAAATGCTGCCACATGGCAAGCCCAACACGCCCTCCTCACCACCTGTCCAAATCCTTCAGGGATGAGATATTTGGTGTGAATTTAAATTCTCCTCCTTGCATCTTAGGCATTTTCAAACATGGCCATGGTTTGTGAGGGGGTGAAGGAATGTGTGGGGACTGAAGCAGCCCAAAGGAGACCCTCAGATCTGCCACCTCAGCTGGAGGACCCCACTGTAGGCTCCCCTCAGCAAGACTACTTCACCCAAGGAAGAAGGTTAGCATTTTGGCCCCTGCCTATTTCCATGTGGAGTCTTGAATTTTCTATTTCTAATTTAACAGTTTTAATGAGTGTGGGCCACCTCTAGTCAATTTTGGAAGTAAACGGGTATGAATAATAAATTAATATCTATTCAGATTGGGCACCAAGTCCCAAGGTGCCCTGCCTAGTAGCTTGGTGTTGTCTGCTTGCAGTCCGAGGAAGGCAATTCAAATCAATCAAACATCCACTCTACCTGACTGGGCTCAAAGGCCCATGCAGGAGTGCGGTGGCCTTGGCAGGTGTTGGGCTTAGTCCTGCTCTCAGGGAGCTTTCCCTCTGGCAGGAGACGGGAAGCACCAGGGTGCTGGTGTTACAACACAGGTGTACAAAGTGCTGGGGGCTGGGGACACAGAGGAAGGACAGTCATGGGTACTGGAGGGGGGAAGTCAGGTTAGGACAAGCCTTTCCTGAGAATGAAAAGGATGACAGTTGAATTGGACCTTGAAGGATGAGTAGGATTTTGATAGACTGATAAGAAACGAAGAGGGGAAGCTTACCAGTTACCAGGATTCTACAACTGGTCAGGCACTGTTCTGGGCTCTTATACCAAAGGGCATTCCAGACAGAGGGGATGATGTGAGCAAAGCCATGGGGAAATGAGATATATGACCAATGCACTTGAAAACCAAGGTGCAAACCAGTGTGGTGGCATGTAGGTGAGTGGTTCACTGTGGCAGAAGAAGGGCCTAGAAAGTTAAGGCAGGGCCAGATCACACAGCATCCTGAACACCAGGCTAGGGAGTTTAGATTTTAGCCAACGGGGAACCACTAAAGGGTTTTAAGCCAAGAGTAACCTACCCAGATGTACCATTTAGAAAGACAGAATTGAGAGCAGAATGGAGGAGAGAGAGGGAGAAGGCTGGAGGTATTGAAAACTGCTAGGTGGCTAATGGGAAAGTCCAGGACAGAGGTGAGCAGCCCCTGTCAGAGCCCAGTGTCTTTTCAAAGCTGTCGGGCAGACCTCATGGCAAGATGGTAGCATGAGTGTGGGCAGCCAGAGAGTGCCCTCTGAAATTCCCATTTAAATAACTGCAGAATATACACAGACCATTGCCTCATTGTGCATGATTAAGGTGAGATAAATAGGCTTACTGATGTCTTTGAGCAAATGTAGGGTGACCACTAGTAGAATTAAAAGCAATATGTCTATTTTCCAAATCACTGCTGGAGATGATAGCAAATAAAAATCGCCACAACAACAAGACAAACGTAGTCTAAAGGAAATATAAAACAAGGTAATGGGGATAAAGCCAACTGTAGTGGTGACGAAGTGAATATAAGTGGAGAGCCTGTGAGCCTGGGTCACATGTGACTGTCATTTGTTGAGTACACGCGCTCTGCCAGGCATTCCTCTGCGTGTCTCATAAAAGCAAATGTGGGCAATAGGGTGATGACATGGAACTCTCCAGTTGAGGCTCCAGGTTAATAGAGATCACATTTCAAAGTCAGGTGGGATTCCACCAAATGGGACTTGGAAAAGAGGTGGCAAAAACCTGGGTCTGCACCTTAGCCAGCACCCATCTCTAGTACATAAAACACTCATCTCTAGAGGCTGAAAAAAGGGTTATTGGAAATTTAAGAGGAATTTTAAAGAGAAACCAGTGAGCCCTAAGTGGGGAGGTGAAGGCTGCTGTCACCTTCACTGCAAATCCAGAGAGTGGGGCTTGAAGGAGACCCCTAGGAGAGCTTACTCTGTGGCCATGATGGTCTTGGGGCCTCAGTGCATGGATAACTGATTCACACCTGGGAAATTCAAAGAGCAGGTGGCAGCTGGCTGCCGTGATGGCCCAGAGGGTGCTGCTGCTTCAGCGTCAGCCACTTTCCAGTTTGTGGGGCAAA